ATTAATCAGTGGAAGAACTTGCCTGCAGAAGTTGTGAATGCCCCAACACTGGAAATTTTTAAGAAGATATTGGATAACCATTTGTCTGAAGTGATGTAGGGTTTCCTGCCTGGGCAGGGGGTTGGACTAGAAGACCTCCAAGGTCCCTTCCAATTCTGTTATTCTATTCTATTATAATATTCTTACCACCGGTTCAGTGCATGCGCCTTCCGCGAATGCGCCCAGCCCCAAATATATGGCTAAATAGAATGGCATTATGTCCAGGCAGGTGGGCACCCGCCGTCACCGCTACCAGTTCGCCTGAACTGGTTCGAACCGGCTGAATACCACCTCTGATCCATCAACTTAAATGTGTATTTCTGAGAAATTGCTTGCATGCTCTGTGATCCAAAGTGAAGGAAAACCTACACCCCCACCCCAAAAAAATGTCACACTCTTGGAGAAGGCAAAGTCCACATTCTGGACAGAGAAGACTGCTGGTTTGAAAGAGGATTCAAAGAGGCCATCTAGGTTAAAATTGAACAGCCCTCGCTCAATAGAGGGGGAGGGATACAACATCACCTATCTCCTGTTTACAACACAGTCCTTTCAGCAGTTCCAAGAAGGTTCCACACTCATCTACACTCTTCAGGTGACCCTGAGGGCACGGATCAACCACCAAGTGGCCTCAGTGACTCTCAGAGAGAGTGCTAATGACCAGATGACTGCAAGGAATATAAACCCCTTCTTTCTCCACCATTCAGTCAGAACTGAAGAAGCTTCGTGGATGAGAAGTGAAATGCCTTCAAGGAAAAACAAAGCCTTTTGAAAAATCATCTTTGGGACTATGCCCCCTAAGTCATCTGGGGTGGTAATATCCAGGAATTTATATGTGCCTATTATTAAAGGCTGCTGGAAATGTACAAGTATCCAAATAGATACTGAATGAATGGATGGTTGAATGAATGAATGAATGAATGAATGAATGAATGAATGGTACACCTTTTTATTGCACTGTTATGAGAGTAACTAATGACATATATTTATTAATTATTTTATTTATTTATTTATTTATTAGTCATATTTCTATGCCGCCCACTCTCCGAGGACTCTGGGCGGCTTACACCAAAGACAGTATACTAAATAGCATATTGCCCCCAACAATCCTCATTTTACCCACCTTGGAAGGATGGAAGGCTGAGTCAACCTTGAGCCAGTGAGATTTGATCCGCTGATGTGCTGAACTAGCAGTCAGCTGAAGTAGCTGCAGTACTGTACTCTAACCACTGCTCCACCTCGGCTCTTAATTATCATAGCATTATTGGCCCTGCACAGTTCTTAAAATCCAGACCTTGGCCCAATATCAAATAATAGATTATCTTTCACAAATGGCTGTCCGACATTTGATTAAGGACATCCCAGTTAAGTGAATTCCACCATTCTTGCTGTTCCATTTCTTCTATTCTTAAACTGGCTGAAACCCAGTGATGGGTTTCAACCAGTGTTACCACCGGTTCGATTCATGCACGCGCTTCGTTCACCATCACCACTCACCATCGCCGCTACCGGCTCGCCTGAACCAGGCTGAACCAGTAGAAAAATGAATTCCGATGAATTCCACCCAGATTTACCTTGTAGCATATGATTTTTATTTTGATGCTCTGAAATTTAAATGTACCTCCTTCATTTCATGTTTTTCATAACACTGGCCATTTTCAATGTCTATAGCTTCATAAAAAGAGGCAGCTAGGATCCTTTCCAGTACCTCAGGGGCTGTCACAAAGAAGAGGGAGTCAAGCTTTTCTCCAAAGCATCTGAGGGTAGGACAAGAAGCAATGGATGGAAACTAATCAAGGAGAGAAGCAACCTAGAACTAAGGAGACATTTCCTGACAATTAATCAGTGGAACAGCTTGCCTCCAGAAGTTATGAATGCTCCAACACTGGCAGTTTTTAAGAAGATATAGGATAACCATTGTCTGAAGTGATGTAGGGTTTCCTGCCTGGACTAGAAGGCCTCCAAAGTCCCTTCCAACTCTGTTATTCTATTCTAAAGCCAACAGATTTAAAGACGTAAATTGAAGAAGCTTCTTTGGGTGTAAAAAACAGCAAAACAAGTTCTTCCTCACTTACTGGTATGCTCAGTTTGAATACAGTGGTTTGTTCTGGGAAAACAAAACTACAATTACATTTGTCTTGTGCTTTTACTGAAAACCTCTTTGTGTAGGCGTCGATGGAATTTTATATGATTCAGCCCTGAGCAAACTTTCTAGAATCGCGCCCACCTATGTAATCTGGTTTAAATACCAAGATTGCAAAACTTAACACAAGAAGTCAAGTCACAAAGAGTTTCTAGAAATGAATATGAAAAAAAAAAAAAACCCAGATCACAACTGCTGCGATAGTTGTTTCGGTATCAAATAATACAACTTTTAAACCTTTGGAGTCGGATGCTGTAGGGAAGCTTCATTGTTGACTAAATCCAGTTGAGTAAGCGTTGACAGTTGGGGATTACTATTTTTTTTTTTTTTAGGAACTTCTGGCTCAGATATTTCCAGCACTTTTTGTTCAAATATATAATATTCTGACATCAGCACCGTAAACAACTGAAACTGAGTTTGCTCATTGGTTCAGCTGATAAAACAGGATTGGCATTAAGTCTTCAAATCTGATTTTTTTTATTTATTTATTTTTTTAGATTTCTCTCAGACTCTGTGGTCCTGTTCTGGGCCTCCTCTGTTCTTTTAACCTCAGATTGCAATACTTTTAGGTGTTAGTACAGTATTACAAAAATTGCCTGTGTAACTTCAGTCTCTTTTCAGATGTTCAAAACTATGTGAACTTTATTTTTTTAAAAAACAAAAAAGATGGTTAACTCAATAAGAGAGTTGTGAAAATATTTACAGGCCCCTCGCATCCTGGACATAAATTGTTTCGACCCCTACCCTCAAAACGATGCTATAGAGCACTGCACATCAGAACAACTAGACATAAGGACAGTTTTTTCCCCCATCACTCTCTAAACTCTGCTAATGGATGTTTTAGTTTTTAATGTAAGGGCCAAATTATTTAATATGTTTTAAACTGTTTTTAAATTTTATGGATATATGTATTGTGGCTGTGCACTGCCCTGAGTCCCTTGGGAGAAGGGCGGTATAAAAATTTAAATAATAAATAATAAATAAACAAATAATTCCATCAACACTGTCAAACTACTCACTAAGTGCATGACTCTTAATCTTCTCCTCATTCCTATCACCCATCGCCTCCCACTTATGACTGCATGACTATAATTTTGTTGCTTGTATCCTTATGATTTAGATTGTTTCCTAGTATGATTCGATTGCTTATTTGTACCCTATGACTATCATTAAGTGTTGTACCTTATGTTTCTTAACGAATGTATCTTTTCTTTTTATGTACACTGAGAGCATATGCACCAAAGACAAATTCCTTGTGTGTCCAATCACATTTGGACAATGAAGAATTCTATCTATCTGTCAGTCTGTCCGTCCGTCCATCCATCCATCCATCCATCCATCCATCCATCCATCCAATCCATCCATCCAATCTATCTAATCTATCCATCTATCCATCTATATCCATCTATATCCATTTATCCACCTACCCACTTACCCACCTATAGCTGGCTCTATAGGCAGAAAGGGAAATGCAAATCCTAGATGCTTGTCGGAGCTAATTTGGTTGAAGTTTGGACTGCTTTGGGCTGATGCAGTGAAGGGGCTTACGTTGGGCAATTCCTATTGTGGCTTAATGGCTTTAATCCTGGTTTGGATCTTGAGTGAGGGGGCTAATCCTACCATTCTGCCTTTGTTCAGACTTCGCTGCAAGGAGTTTCAAAATAGCCTGTCTTGAATGGATAACCAAATCTGCACCTTCTAAAAGGTGCCTCCTCAGTTTTTGTTTGGGGGCAAGGAGATTGAGGCTGCTTCCTGCCTCTAAAAAAACACCTTTTTCCATTTCTCATTTAGGGAAATATAATATTCTGCCTTTTAAAAATATTCCTCAAAATATTTAATTCTTCTACGAGGGTGTGGGAGCTCTTCCACATAAGGAAGAACATTGAGACAAATAAAAAAATGTAAGTGGGTTGGCACACAAGGACATAAAATCTGGGCTTCCTCATTTAAATAAGATAAACCACATTATGGAATATTATAGACCTATAATATATTACTACTAATTAATCAGTGACTTCCCTCCTGCAATTCTAGGTGTTCAAATACTGGAAGATTTTAAGAAGAGTTTGGACAGCCATTTGTCTGAAATGGTATAGGTCAGTGGTGGCTAACCTTTTTGCCGTTGTGTGCCAAAAGCAGGGGAAGTGTGTGGGGGGGGTCGTGCACATGCGTGCCCACACCCATAATTCAATGCACCCCGCTCATGCGTGTACGATCTCCCCCGCTCCCCCCGCTTTTGGCACGCAATGGCATGGTGGGCCTGGTAGGCCCATTTTTCGCCCTCCCCAGGCTCCAGAGGCTTTCTAGGAACCTGGGGAGGGCAAAAACGGCCTTCCCCATCCCTCTGGAGACCTGAAACAGCCCATTTGCCGACTTCTGATGGGACTGCAAGGCCCGTTTTTCACTCTCCCCAGGCTCCAGAGCCTTTCTAGGAGCCTGGGGAGGGCAAAAAATGGCCTCCCACACCCCTGGAGGTGCTCAGGCGGCCGGAAATGGCTCATTTCCCAACTTCTGGTGGGCCCGGAAGGCCCAAAAATCAGCTGGCTGGTACGCGCATGTGTGCCAGAGCTGAGCTAGGGCAACACTCGCATGCCCACCGCTATGCCTCCGTGTGCCACCTGTGGCACGCGTGCCATAGGTTCGCCATCATGGGTATAGGTCCTCCTGCTTGACCAGGGGGTTGGAGTAGAAGATCTTCAAGATCCCTTCCAAGTCTGTTATTCTGTTATCTTTGTAAACCATAATGAGTTTATTTGTTCTTGATTGAGAGGGAAGACGTAACAACGATCCTGAATAGTAAACCATGAGTCACACACATACACACATTCCAATATGCATTTTTATTACACTGTAAATGTTTTAATACACAATATTCAGAAGACGGTATAGTACATTAGAACAATGCAAGAAGTTGGGTTGATAAGCTGCGTAGATGTTTTTAAAAGCTGATCCACGAAAGATTTAAAAAGTGAAGCTGTTTTGTTTAAAAAATCCAAGAAGGCAATCGGGAAAGCTGGTAGTATGTTTCTATCCAGTCAAATATTGAAGTCCTAGATGATTCTTCCACAACATTCCAGTTACGTTCCCCCATTTTTCTTTCATTCCTAATAAAAAAAAAAAAAGAAGAGATATTTTTGGTTAACTGATAGAATTAGCATAACATCCCTTGTCCCAAAGACAGACCATTTTTAAACATTTGCAAAGGTAAAGGTTTCCCTGCCACTTGTGTCCGAAGACAATTTCTGTGGTCATGTGGCCAGCATGGATATAACGCCAAAGACGCCTGGGATGCGTCCCAAGAAATTTAGACTTTGTTTATATTAACATGAAATTTAATTTAATTTAAGGGTTCCAATAGAAACCTTGTGAGGTAATTCGATCATTCAAATGAAATGAATTTCAACTTCCATTAAAAATATTATACATCGGAAACAGACTGTGTTATTTCTCTGTGTATTATATTCATACATATAATATATGTGGGTATATACACAATTTTGTAAAAGGGGCATGGTGGCTCAGTGGCTAAGATGTTGAGCTTGTCGATCGAAAGGTGGCAGTTCAGCGGTTCGAATCCCTACTGCCGTGTAACGGGGTGAGCTCCCGTTACTTGTCCCAGCTTCTGCCAACCTAGCAGTTCGAAAGCACGTAAAAAAATGCAAGTAGAAAAAGAGGGACCACCTTTGGTGGGAAGGTAACAGCGTTCCTTGCGCCTTTGACGTTGAGTCATGCTGGCCACATGACCACGGAGACGTCTTCGGGCAATGCTGGCTCTTCGGCTTTGAAACGGAGATGAGCACCGCCCCCTAGAGTCCGGAATGACTAGCACATATGTGCGAGGGGAATCTTTACCTTTTATTACACAATTTTGTATGTATTTGTTTAGTCATGTTTATGTAGTGCAGGGGTCTGCAACCTTAAATATTCAAAGAGCCATTTGGACCCGTTTCCCACAGAAAAGAAAATGCCGGGAGCCACAAAACCTGGGTGGGCGTGGCTAACTCGATGTCACTCACTTCCACCAGTCACATGACCCCCCTAGCCACGCCTACCCAGCTGGTCATTAGGCAGTGAACAAGTGGTTAAAAATCACCGGGAACCTCAAAATCCTTTTGACATATCTCTATCTCCCCTCCCTCCCTCTTTTACCCCCTCTCCCTCTCTCCCTGTATCTATGTCTCTCTCTCTCCCCCTCTCTCTGTACCTCTCTGTTTCTGCCCTGGATACTTCTCCAATCCCCCGCCGTCGCCCTTACCTTCTCAAGCCAGGCGAGAAGTGACTGGGAGGGGAGGGAGAGGGGTGGGATCACCTGACAGGGAGACACAGCATAAGGCCCAAAGATCCACATGCAGCTCCTGAGCTGCAGGTTGCTGACCCCTGATGTAGTGTATATTGGAGGTGGTGACCCTTTGAGAGCTGTTTGCAGGAAATTTCATTTTAATTGTATGCCGATTAGTGTACATTCAAAGTGTTCAAAAGATTATTCTAAGTCTAAGCAGTGTTGTGGCCCGTACGCAGCCTGCGTGGCTGGTGGCTGATTCGGACAGCGAGGAGGCTGGTGTGGTGCTGCGCCAGCAGCCTGTGCAGCTAGCGCTCAAGTCAGACAATGAGGCTGGAGAAGATGTGATGCCAGAGGCAGGGATTCAGCCAGGGCCTCCAGAACCTCCAGAAGCTCCCTTAAGTGAAGAGGATGAAGAGGAGGAGCCTCTTCTCGATGCACGGGTGCGCAGAGCTGCCAAAAGGCAGGAGTGGCTCTTCAGGAGGAGGTCTCCTCGAGAGTAAGGCTTGGGGCTAATCGGCCACTCCCTTAGCCTATTTAAGGAGGAACACCAACTGAAGCAATTTGCAGGGAACAACTTCGTTCACTCTCCTTCGTGCCTTGATCTTAGTTCTTTGCAAACTGCTTCTGGGCTTTCTGACAATCATAGTAAGATTAAGATTATTCATCCTTTGGATTTTTGTAGGCTGTTAAAAAAGTTAATTAACAGCCTTTGTTTGGAAAAAAAACTTATTTAATTTAGTAAACTAAGGTTTGTACAGACTTTGTGTGTGCTGCGTTCTTTGGGGTCCGTAGCTGGGGCAGAACAAGCAGCCACATAGTCCATATTGAGAGAAGGCCACGCTACCTGTGGCTGTATAGCGATCGGGATCAATGGGAGCCCTAATTGCTTGAATTATTTTTAAGCCCATGGCTCTAAGGACTGGAAACACATATACATGCCCACGTTCACATGTCTATAGCCTAGAAATGGTTTAATCCAAGCTTCCAGGCTTGAGTTGCCCCAAAGTGAAACCATGGACGTTAAGTGGATCTGTCCCCCTGTCCTAAAAGATCTGCTTACCTCATCTTGACCATGCCCAGAAGGTGAGTATTAGGTTGAGAGCAACGCTCTTGAAAAATATCAATCTCAGCCCCAATACAGTGAGAGAGAGAAGATTCAAATTTTCGTCTGAAGAAAAAGAAGAAGAAAAAAAAAAAGATAAATATCAAGATGTTCTATTTGGCCGTTGACATTGGCTGCTTATGATGTTTGACTACAGCCCTTTTACGATCTCTGAACTTCAAGTCCCAGAATTCCTGAGCCAGCCATGCATGGCTAGCTCAGGAATTCTGGGACTTGAAGTTCCCAAATCATTAAAGGGCCATAAATTCCCCATATTCAATTGTGCCTTTTAAGAGTTCATGGCTGACTCGATGCTCCATGCTGAATCAAAAGTTACAGGTAGTCCTCGATTTACGACCACAATGGAGCCCAACATGTCTGCTGCTAAGTGAAACGTTTGTTAAGTCAGCTTGCCCCATTCTACGACCACTTTTGCCACCATTGTTAAATGAGTCACCACAGTTGTTAAACTAGTAAAACTGTTGTGAAGTGAATCTATCTTCCCCATTGACTTTTTCAGGCAGCTGAATTTTGATCACGTGACCATGGGGATGCTACAACGATCCTGGGCTCCTGACTAACTTGACAGCTGTAAATCTGAGTGTCAAATAAACTTATTTATATAAAAGTTCACAGTTCTTGTCAGTGTCTCTGACTTAGTGTGGAAAACTGCCGCAAAATTCCCTCACATCTTCCAACTCTATTATTTTGATATCAGTTTTTACCAATGGTGGGTTGCTACTGGTTCGCCCCAGTTCGGGCGAACCGGTAGCAGCGGGAGGCTCCGCCCACCCACCGGGACATCTCTGTGCATGTGCACATGAGCGAACCAGTAGTGACTGAAATTGAAACCCACTACTGGTTTTTACCCACAATGAACATACCTGTTTCGAAAACTGGTGTATCGGACAGAGTTTCTGAACACGTAGCATCCCCTATAGCAACAATAACAACAACAACAATCATTAATGATTTTGCTTATGATAAAAGAAAAAAAAAACAAGAACGATTTCTGGAATGTTTTTGTCAGATGCCACCTGGATGATTGATGCTACGCTATGCTACTAGGCCTCAAGAAGCTATTTTGGTGACAATCTGTCATAAACTCAGGGGCCTGGTAGGCCGAGGGATGAAAGTTTATCATTCCACTCTGAATACCTTCTCAAGGTCAACGGCTTGGGAACAGAGCACAGTTACATTCCTCAGAAAACCCTTTCTAAAAAAAAAACAATTTCTTTTGCATTTTTTGGACTTAGAGGGACCAGCTATGGGAGGCGCCTTCAGAAAGGAAAAGTCACCCTGGGATTTTGCCGCACGAACTTTCAGTTCTGGCTTTGCATTATTGTATAGCCCTTGACTTCTAATAAACCATGCCTTTCTCATCCTCGATGGTGTTAAGTGTCGTTTTTTTTTTTTTACTTAGAAGCTCATGCTGAGGCAGGGCTGACAGCTTTCCACATTTTGTGGTTTGCTCTCTTCTTTCTCCAACACACATAAAAATAAAACAGATGTCTTACAGCCGTGCTACAAGCAGGAGCAGCCGTTATATTTATGTGCCTTGAATTATGATGTCCACCTGAGATCCTTATACCCCTACTACTACTACTGTCACTGCGTTATTTTATTTACCAGCTGAGCTCATTATTTCTGGACTGTCTGGCTCTCCGTAGCTTTGCCAACTTCTTATCAGTAAGCTACGTGTTTCCGTATCCACCCACATTCCTTCACTTGCTCTCACACTTTTCCTTTGTTCTCTTTCCAGAAAGGTCCGGCTAAGAGATAGCCGGCCCGAATTACCTTCAAAAATGTAACAATTAACTTTTCTTAGTTAGTGAGGTGTTTTATTTTCTTTATAACAAATAAATGAGTTTTATTAGAAACCCTCCTTCGCGTTTCTTTTCGGAATATTGTAAACAAGGATAAGCCTCGATTCATCTCCTCCTCTAAACCAGGGTAATTAGTCCCAGAGCCAAACATGGGATTAATAAATGCCCTGACAACTACTACTACTACTACTAGTAGTAGTACTTAGTGATAGTACTACTATTACTATTATTTAGTAGTAGTAGTACTTAGTACTAGTAGTACTAGTAGTACTTAGTAGTAGTATTACTTAGTAGTAGTATTTAGTAGTCATAGTAGTACGTAGTAGTAATAGTACATAGGAGTAGTACTAAGTAGTAGTAGTAGTACTAAGTAGTAGTAGAGAGATAAGGACCTCCTGAGGCTGAGCTTGGGAGAAACAAACATTTTAGTGGTGGCACCTCATTTCTAGAATATCTTCAGCAGATAAGCTCACTTTATGCCTTCATAATTGTCTTCTGAAGATTAGATAAAGATTTATCATTTCCCAAGCACTTCCAAAACCATTTGAAACTTTACTTATCGATTATTGTTTGTTATTAAATGTATTTGTCACCCACTTTAAAATTCGAGACGACTCTGAACATTATTGAATATTATTTCACTGCATTTATCTTTGCTATTTACTGTTTTTAAAACTAAACTTAAATCCTCCTTTTTACTAAAGAGGATAAATGATATTATTTTAGAAAATATGTGTGTCTGTATATCACACTTTGCATGGTAAAAACTTGTTGCATCACTCAGGGAAGTAAGAATTTAGGGCAGTTTAAACAATATAAGAAATACACGTCTCAATAAACTCTGAGAAATCCTATTTGTTCCCACTTCTTTGTGCAAAACAGTTGCAGATTCCCACATCAAACTATAGATCACATCCTGGCCAGAGGTTGAGGGCATATACTAGTCTGTCTGTCTGTCTGTCTGTCTGTCTGTCTGTCTGTCTGTCTCTCTCTCTCTCTCTCTCTCTCTCTCTCTCTCTCTCTCTCTCTCTATCTATCTATCATCTATCTATCTCTAACTATCTCTATCATCTCTATATCTATCTATCTATCTCTATCTATCTCTATCTCTATCTACTGTATCTATCTATCTATCTATCTATCTATCTATCTATCTATCTATCTATATCTCTAACATCTCTATATCTATCTATCTATCTATCTATCTATCTATCTATCTATCTATCCACCCATGATGCTGTACTTCAATAGTTAGATCAGGGGTAAATGCTCCTGGTTCGGACCAATTCGGCCGAACCGGTAGCAATGGCGGCCGGTGGTTTGGAGAACCGGTAGCGATGGCGGCCGGTGGTTTGGAGAACTGGTAGTGATGGCGGCCGGTGGTTTGGAGAACCGGTAGCGATGGTGGCCGGTGGTTCAGAGAACCGGTAGTGATGGCAGTGTGAGGCTCCGTCCACCCACCCGATCACTGTTTTTTACCCTCTGCACATGCGCAGAAGGGTTTGCACATGCACAGAGGATCCAAGTGCACGTGCGCGGCACGTGCATTTCTTAACCGGTTGGGAAGGTAAGTAGTTTTCACGCCTGGGTTAGATGATCTAGACATTGCTATTTCAACACAGATCTTTTTGACATTTATATTTTATTGTGTTTTACTAATCTAACTCAAGTGTTAATATACATATTGCTAGTCCATGGATAGTATGCCATACGCTAAATGTATCTGCAAAACAGTTTGGAAATCTGCTGCTCTATTCTCAACTTTTCTGCAGCATGTCCAACAGATATATTCAACCAACCAGTGGTGAAATCTAAAATTTGTTACTACCAGTTCTGTGGGCGTGGCTTGGGGGGGTAATGTGACTGGGTGGGTGTGGCCAATTTTTTTTTTTAAAAAAAACCATTTTTTTGTAAAAAAAATGCTTTCAAAAGGCTCTGACGATCAGGCAACTCAGCTGGGATCGTCAGAGGCATTTAAAAGAAAAAAAAGGTTTTTTTTTTCTTTTAAAAGCCTTTGACGATCCCAGCTGAACCACGCAATCATCAGAGGCTTTTTTTTTTTTACTTTTAAAAGCATTTTTTCTACAACCTCTTCGGCCGAAAAAATGCTTTTAAAAGTAAAAAAAAAAAAAGCCTCTGATGATTGTGCGGCTCAGCTGGGCATGGGGGAGGGGGGGCAGGGATTTTTGCTACCAGTTCTCCGAACCACCCGCCTCCATCGCTACCGGATCGGGCGATCTGTTCCGAATCGGGAATATTTCACCCCTGCAACCAGCCCTCAGGAACCATAACAAAGGCAGCTATTATTGGTCTCCAAATTGGACTGGAGGAAGAAAGCTTTATTTTCGATATGGGTTCAGTGTGAATGCCAATATTTACATCGATTTTACCTTCTTTTTCAGCTTTGTAGGTGTCGCCTCGGTGAATAGCAGAGCATTGAAACTGATTCTTATTTTTGCTCCAAATGACAACTCCAAGACTGGCCGATTCTTTATTGCCGTCTTCTTTCACAACCACGGCAGAGTCATTGACTGCTTCAGGTGCCAAACTACTATTAAACTTCACGTCGATGGGACCTGGTGAATAGTCAGTAATGAGGCAAGCGGCTAAGTTGCTTTCTTTTTCTTTGGGCTTCAGCTGGTAGACAGAAGGATTTGAATTCGCGAGATCTACAATAAAAAACAAAAACATACATTGCTCAATTCTGAGATCTGAATAGCTTGGAAAACACATACAGGTAGTCCTAGACCAGTGATGGCTAACCTTTTTGCCATCACATGCCAGGAGGGGGGGCGAGGTGGGGTCGCACATGCGTGCATGTGCCCACACCCATTATTTTATATGCTCTGCCCCCACGCATGCGTGTGCGACCACCCCCCCTGCTCCCCCTCTCCTGGCACACGATGGCCCAGTAGGTCCATTTTTCTTTCTCACCTGGCTCCAGGGCCTCTCTAGGAGTCTGGGGAGGGCGAAAACAGCTTTCCCCAACCCCCCCGGAGGTCTCCGGAGGCCGAAAACAGCCCATTTAACAATTTCTGGAAGTTGTCATACGGGCTGTTTTTGGCCTCCGGAGGATCTCCAGGGAGGTGAGGAAGGCTGTTTTCGCCCTCTCCAGACTCCTAGAAAGGCCCTGGAGGCTGGGGACAGCAAAAAACGGGCCTTCCAATCCCACTGGAAGTTGTTAAACTGGCCGTTTTCGGCTTCCGGAGGACCTCCGGGGGGGGGGCATTTTCACCCTCCCCAGACTCCTAGAGAGGCCCTGGAATCAGGTGAGAAATAAAAATGGGCCTCCCCCCACCTCAGGCCCTCTGGAGGCAGGAAACAGCCTGTTTCCCTACTTCTGGTGGGCCCAGAAGACCCAAAAATCAGCTGGCCAGCACGCGCATGCACTCCAGAGCTGAGCTTGCGTGCCCACTGATATGGCTACACATGCCACCTGTGGCACGCGTGCCATAGGTTCGCCATCACAATCCTAGACTGTTCATTTAACGACCATTTGAAGTGACAACGGCACTGGAAAAAGTAACCTACAACCAGTCCTCCCACTTACAACGGTTGCAGCATCTCCACAGTCAGCAAAACTTTGGGCACTGAGGAACTGGCACGTATTTTACAACAGTTGCACGTGGGTGTCGCATAACTGCCATTTGCTTCTATTTAAATGGGTGTCCACTAGGCCTCTCACAGTTACTACTATTGAGCGAGGTACCGCATATACTGTACCTGTGCATTTTGTTTTTCTTGCCTATAAGAGTAAGATATTTTGGCAAGCCTAGTAACAGGCAGGTAGGTCTGGATTTAAAGAACCAGCAGGTAAATTCCAGGGGTTCAAGGTTGATATGGACTTGTTCTCTTTGAAATGCAACCTGCCCATGTAGCCTTGTCAATATTCTCTGGAATTTAAGGAGTTTCTTAACTAATTTAGCAGGGGATTCATCTCTCAAGACATGAATAGATTGACTTTAAGGATTAAAGATAGGGAAGAGATAGAGTATTATAGAATATTGAACTGTTTCTATTATTGGTTGGAAAAGAGATATAAAAGATAAAAGCTTTATGATTATATTTGAAAATTTGATAGGCAGAATTTTGTTTCAGTAAGGAAATATTAAAATGGTTTGTATAAAGATCAAGATAGAAGAAAGTTCCTTTTTTGGAAGAAGAAGAAGGACTGAAGATAACACCGAGATGTCACAGGGAGGGGTCGACAGATGTACTAAATGTTTGTTTATTTTTATAAAAAATAATAAAAAGTTATATATATATATATATATATAAAAAAGACATGTCTATACCTGAAATCCGAAGAAATGTTTTATTTTGCCTTCTTTAGCTTTTTAACGATTGGTGCCATTTATATCAGCTTCCTGAGGCATCAGCCGTTATGAAACTCAGTGGTATAAATTCTCTTTTACTCCGCTTCTCTCTTTTGCTAAAACTGTTCCAATTCTGACCCTTTTGTCATTATTTATTTATTTATTTATTTATTTATTAGTTCGATTTTATATGCCGCCCTTCTCCGGAGACTCAAGGCGCCTTACAATGCATTAAGCCTTCATAATTTTGTATATACCTGCTTAGTAAGGCTTTTGGGCCCCCCCAAGCATTGTTCTTTTTTTATACAAAGTCAGCTTATTGCCCCCACAAACCGGGTCTTTCATTCTCCTGGGCAAAAAGGGGGCCCTCAGGAAAACCTATTTATTTATTTTGTTTATATTTCTTATTTCTTAACCTTCTTATCTTCCCTCAGAGAAGGGTTGTGTACAATGGCGTTCGATCAGAATAGAGATTCGTTCATTCAAAATAGAATTAATAAAAGTAACATTAAAAACAGAATGAATGTCAGATTCAAAGTTTTCAAAAATGTAAAAATAACATGATAAAATGTCAAAAGGTGAACAATGGCAAGATGGAGGAGGTTTGGTAGTTGTTAATACAGGTAGGGGGGAGGTTGTCATGGGGCCTCCATTTCCCCACCACCATCCCCCCCCCGGTCTGGGGACCTCACGCAGGCCCGTGCCATTAGATTTTGACCACTTGCATTGAGTATCCATTGCACAAATCTACAGTTCAAATACAACCACAAGCCCAAAAACTCAACGTATATCTATTTTGACTTGCACACTTTTTTTTTTCTAACACAAGCTAATAACTTCTGCAAACGCTTGCAAAACTTTCCAAAACTAATTTCAGAGAAAAAAAACCCGCAAAGCTTACGCCTCCCTGCTTGTGGGCTTTCATCTGATGCTATCGTTTTATGACTAAGAGCTCACACTCTGAGCAGTAGTAGCTTGTCTTCCTGCCTTTCCTGCTGTTGTATTCATTTAGTGACTGAGCTGAAGAGTAATGACCTTAAAGAAATCTGCATTAAGTTTGGACCCAAATCTCTATTCGCTCTGCAGAAGGATCAACAACCCCAAAACCAGAGTTACAGAATACAAAATAACAAGAGTTGGAAGGGTCCTTGGAAGTCTTCTGGTCCAAGCAGGAGAACCTATACCAGTGATGGCTAACCTTTTTGCCATCGTGTGCCAGGAAGGGGGGGGCGGGGGAGGTTCGTGTGCATGCGTACCCACACCCATAATTCTATGCGCCCTGCCCCGCGCATGCGACCCTCCTCCTCCCCACTCCTAGCACGTAATGGCCCGGTAGGCCTGTTTTTCTTTCTCATCTGGCTCCAGATCCTCTCTATGCATCTGGGGAGGGCAAAAACAGCCTTCCCCACCCCCTCAGAGGCCCCCCGGAGGCCCAAAACAGCCCGTTTCCCAACTTCTGGTTGGACAGGAAGTGACTTTTTTGCTGTCCCCAGCCTCCAGAGACTCTGGCGCATGCGCGCCGGAGCTGAGCTGGTGTGCCAGGTGACACGGCTCTACATGCCGCCTGTGCCACACGTGCCATAGGTTCACCATCATGGACCTATACCATACTGGACAGATAGCTGTCCAATCTCTTCTTATAAACTTCCAGCATTGGAGCACTGTTCGATTAGCTATCCAATCTCTTCTTAAAAACCTCCAGTGTTGGAGCAACCACAACTTCTGGAGGCAAGTTGTTCTACTGATTAAAAGTTCTCACAGACAGCAAATTTCTCCTTAATTCCAGGTTGGACTTCTCTTTATTAATCTTCCATCCTTTACTGCTTGTCTTGCCCTCAGGTGCTTTGGAGAATAGGTTGAACTCCTCCTCTCTGTGACAGCCGCTCATATATAGTAGTTTTCCAATATTTGAAGTATTGTCACAGAGAGGAGGGAGGTCAACCTACAGTAGCGGCCAAAATTGTGAAAACCTTTTGGGAAAAGTGTATTTTTGAAGTTTGATGGCTAATAACACCACTTTTTTTTTTTTTGAGTTTCAAGATAATCATATTCCATTGCTGGAATGGCCTGGGAGTAGCCCAGACCTTAACCCAATTGAAAATCTATGGAGCCGATTAAAGAAGCAACCGAGCAATAAAACCCAGTTAATAGAAGCAATCATTCAATCTTGGTTTCACATTCTAAAAGCTGCAGAACTAAAAGACTTGGCTCACTCCATGGGGAGACGTTGTAAGGCCGTAATTCATGCTAAAAGTTACCCAACTAAGTATTAACTGACATGGTGATAATTTTTGTCTATCTCGTTTTTTCTATGGTGATAATTTTTATATATCTCATTTTTTTCTACGTGTTTCACTTTTCTTCTTATACTGTAACTGCTATTCTAATAGCAAATCCCTCATAAAAGTTACTGCATTACATTCTTGATTAAATTATCTTTCCATTGATATATAATTTTATGGTCCTACTCCCCCCCAAAAAAGTGGTGTTATTAGCTAGTTTTAGAAAATACACTTTTCCCAAAAGGTTCCCACAATTTTGGCCACTACTGTATTCTTCAAAGACCTGAGGGGAAGACAAGAAGGAAGAAATTCCAGTAAAATCCTGAATTATAAAGTCTTATCTGTATTAGACTGGGTAACTGGATGTGACTTAACAGTATAACTTACTAAGTGCAAAATTCTTAGGGTTAGGGTATCTGAATTCTGGAAATCTTTAAAGAAACCTACCAGGAATACCAGTAAAATTTCTGAATTGGTGGGATCTGGAGGAAGAACAACATGGTCCCAGTGTTAATTTAAATAAAAACTGTATTGAGATGAACCCAGATCTTGGATACCTATCGTAATATCATAAAATTCTTCTCCATCCAATTATCCGCCTGATCCGCCAGTTGCGTCCCTTTCTGGATCGGGACTCCTTACACATGGTCACTCATGCCCTCGTCACCTCCCGCCTGGACTACTGTAATGCTCTCTACATGGGGCTCCCCTTGAGGAGCACCCGGAGGCTCCAACTGGTCCAGAATGCGGCCGCACGGGTGGTTAGGGGAGCGACGTGGCGTTCCCATGTAACACCTCTCCTGCGCGAGCAGCACTGGCTTCTGGTGGTCTTCCGGGTGCGCTTCAAGGTCTTGGTTACCACCTTTAGAGTGCTCCATGGCTTAGGACCTGGGTACTTACGAGACCACCAGTAGCCTCTCACCGGCCAGTACGCTCCCATAGAGAGGGGCTCCTCAGGGTGCCGTTGGCCAAACAGTGTCGACTGGCAGCCCCCAGGGGGAGAGCCTTCTCTGTGGGGGCACCTGCCATTTGGAACGAGCTCCCCCCGGAGATACGGAGGATCCCGGATTT